GTCAGGCAGAAAATCACCGAGGTGAAACCATGGCCTTTCGGTGTCCGTCAGCATCCACCAACCATCTGTCAGGCCGTAGGTGAGATCCTGCCATAGTCTGCATCTTTCTGACTCTGAGAGACTCTGACATGTCACAGTGGACCCAGGGCTCTGCTGCCAATCTGGAGAGAGCTAATAATGTGGGGGCCTTAATTATTGGAATAGGGTTTTGGGGCCCTTTATACTATATTTAATATTTATAATCAGGAACCCCCAAAATCATATAAGTAATTATGAAGACCCCTACATTGCGGAGTTGCGCCAACATGATGCGACCGCATCACCTGCAATACGGCAATCCGGTCCCAAACCGCAGACCTGCCCCAACGTCACTATGGCAGGTGAGTCGGTAGCTCTGGCAACCGTCTAAGTGAAGCATGGCATGCAGCTGCGAGGCATAAGGCACACCTCCAACCAATATCCCCCAGTCCTCAATGAGCGTTCCTGGATTCTGCACCTGGCAACTTCACGTTCGAAGCGAATCTCGTTTTTTGATTCCCGCTTCCAGCAAGCCCGTCTTGTGATTCATCCGCAGCACCAAAGATCTATTTATCGGACTAACCTGTCGGCTGGCTGACCCCCGAGCATTCTGAGGGCTATCCCCGATGCCCCAAGAATCTGTCTTCCTCAACAACCCGGGGTTTCTTCAGCGGCAATCCTATCAGGGCTGGGTCCTAAAAGGCACCTCGTTGAACACGATGTGTCCACCCGGCCGCAGCAGCACATGGATCGTTGCCATGGTAGAGGCTAAGTGCATGGTGGCGTGGATCACCTGGTTTCGTCGTGCTCACGATCCCTCACAACCAGAAGCCCCAAACCCCATCAACGCATACGGCCCAAACTCTAAACCCCTGCTTGCCATCGGGAGCACCCAGGTCCAGCTCGTGGTGCTGCAGTCGAACAAGCAAAACAGGATCCAGGAGCAGGTAAACCCACAGCCCAAAGCGTGCCAGGAGGTTGAAACCCCACAACCGAACTGCTTTGTGACGCTGTCTTAGCAGGCTCCAGCTGCACATTCTCTTCCGAGGTGCATTCGTGGCCAAGATCGCGCTGATCTCGTGGCTGTTGAAGCCCTGGCCCAGCTGTCATGCCGCGTGGCAATACACGAAACAAACCCGGAACAAGTACAACCCGAAACTCTCTATAGCCCCTAAACCCTGAAACTCTATGACAGCACTCATGGAAACAATGATGATGGAGAGATCTGGGGCCGGATTTCAGCTCCCGCAACAAACATCCACCACAAGAATGCTCTCTCACCTTGAACCGAAACCCTGGACAGAAAAAGCCGCCTAAACCCTTCACTCCAAAGCGATCGCCAGCCGAGAGGTTCCAGCGTGGCGGACGAAACGCATGCTTCCGGACAGCTTAGATTGCCTGATCACCAGGATGCTTGTCGCCGTTGAAGATGGAGTACTCTATGAAGGAGAACCTGCAAACGGAATTACAGAATTTGGGTCTCCGATCTCGAATCCCGAACGGCAGCAGGACCCCTGACTAATACTAAGGAGCCTCGAAGCAGATACCGAGATTACGTCTCTGTTCACAAGAGAAGTAACGACTCATGCCAGCCCGACAGACGAAGCCTGTGATCCAAGAATTGTGTTCCCTATGTGCCCATAATCGAGTCACAAAATCAACTAGACCCGGAAGCCTTGTTAAAGCGATTACGTAGAAAGTTCCAAGAAATTGAATCTCGGGCTCTCTCTCTCTCTCGCTCGCTCGTCCGACTTTCCCACCAGCCTCGAAAATCGTGCCCGAGCGTTGGTCAGGAATGCTTGCGACAGGTCGCTGAAAACATACCTAGCAAAGCGAGCTGCCATCACGACTCCAATGCAAAGGCGTTGTTCCATGGACTCGCTGACTGAGAGCTGTGCCTGGAACTGTGCGGATTTAGCACCGGCAGCACGAAGGAAGAGGTGCCGCCGGTTCCGGAACCTGTATCGAGGTGACGGGGCTCAATGTGGAAGATTGACACTTCAACTGACGCTTTGATTTGACGATTCTTCTTCCCTGCCGGTTCAACGCCGAGAGAATGCTCTGGCATCAGCGCGTGCCTTTGCAACCCCCGAATCTCCTAAAAATTAGGGTTTCGGGTCGGGATCCGACTTGCCCAGAAGAGGCTTGCTCGATTCGGCATCGATGCTGCATCCGTGAACCTTTGAACTACGACCGACTGCCTGCCTATCTCGAAGACGTACAGGCCCTTTTCGGACGACATCACAGGATTCTTCATGTCCTGCAAGATCTTGAAAACCTGCCAGAGTCCGGTCAGGGTTCGGGTTTTACTGGTTCAAATAAGGTTCAGACAGGGTTCAAGCAGTGGTTCAAAAGGGGGTTCGGAAAGGGTTCAGGTTTGCTTGGTGTACAGTTTACCGTTTCATGTTTCCAGCTTACTCCCAACACCTTCGAATCGGCAGAATCCTTGCTCCAACTGCATTGAAACCCTGCGAGCCCCTACACTTAAACCCCACAATCAACAATAACATAAGCGACTCCTGTCACGGGCGGCTGCCTCCACGCAAACCTCGTTGCACAATCTGGCCTGGCTGGCTCTTCGATATGGAAAGCTGGGAAAATTGCTAAGTGGCTGTCTATGTATGTATTTCTATGCATATACACACACATATTTATATATATATATACACAATACTTATGTAAGTGTATATATGTATGTATATATATATATGTATGTACATAACATATATGTAGCGTTTGTCTTGCAGCGTGAAGAAATCATGCAAGAAGTCCCCTTAGCCGTGGGTGCCCCGAAGCACAGACTTCGCTGCTGTCGGAAATTCGGAAACCAGGAATTCAGCCCACAAGTGAACTTCCGCAGGCCCAATCGTTACCCTCCCGTTGTTCTCCCCCTGCACAACCCAACATCTGCCAAGGCCGTGTCGCATGAAACTGGTTCTCATCAGCACCATCTGCATGATGCCAATGACACGGCTTTGCTTCTCGCCGAATGAAGCCGAAAAGCTTGCTCGCCCCAACTCCAATCTACCTACAAGACTTGAAGACGACAGGCCTCTATTCCTCCCCGTCCACATGCCTAGGCCCTATCAACTCTCAAGCAAGCCCTGAACCAGAAGACCCTTCTAGCATCGCCTGCGGATCATCCTCGTAACCTTCAGTGGCCGCTCCAAAGGAAAGGCCCCCATCGCCGCTCATGGCGCCCGGACTTCGAAGACGTCCAAATTAGTAGCGATTTCAGCCGCCCCTCTTCGGGCTCAGGGTCACAAGCTTAGGGTTTTGGAGGGTTGGCTGGTGCTTGTGTACGAAGGTGCATCTGTGTTCCGCGATGAGGCGGATGGTCACGAACTTCGAGCTCGGGCCACGTTGTCTCTTGTTACCTCCCAACCCAACACTAGGGGCTTGGGCTAGTGCTCCATTCAAGAACAGGTAAGTTACTACGTAGTAGACTGAATCAATGTGTGGACGATCGGAGCAGTAAACCTGCTGACAATGCCTCTGCATGCTTCATAACAACGAAGTCACTCCTCTAGCTCTGAGCAGGATTCCATGCCGGTGACACCAACGTAGAGGGCCTCGAAACCTTCGACCCCACTCCAAATAGTCAGCATAGACTGCTGTGGATGCACTTTTATTGCTGTTGCTGCTGCTGTTGCTGCTGCTGCCGCTGCTGCTGGGCAGCTCGCTACACAACAAGAAGTTGTCCGAAAGTAGGGCCAGTCCTCAGAGCAAAGAATGGGCTGTTGTGCCAAGTGCCCGACAGGTTTGGACCGGTTTGGAAGACTGGCAATGTGCTTGATCATTGCATTCGAGACGTATGAGGATGTCTGCCAAAGTGCCAGAATGGCAACGGCTGCTACTGCTGCTGCTGCTACTACTACTACTACTACTACTACTGCTACTGCTACTGCTACTGCTACATGCTACT